AAATTAAAAAAATTGGAAACTTTTTCTTTTTTTTTTGTATTCAATCATGATATTATTTTTATATATAGATTTAGTCAATTGGAAACATTTCCACTCACTTTTTTTTATTTTTCCTTTCTTTTTGTTTCTCCTTCTTTACTGGTAAAGTTTTAGTTCCAGGTGTTATAAAATTTAATATTTATTAATTTCGTTTCGAATAAATATCTATAAATATCCTTTTACATTATGCCCATTTTCAAATTCATATTTCTTATGATTAACATTTTAGAATAAATTTAATCCCAATTGTGATATCATTGCAACATTTATGGAAAACGTTTATATTTAACCGGAAAAAAAAAAAACAAAAAGAAAACAATATGCATCTCAAAATTTACTGATAACAGTTATTGAAATAATCATATTCGCTGAGCTGTTATTTGCCAACGGTGATAACTTCATATGTACAGTTTTTGTAGCTGACATGAAAACAATCTTCAACGATCATTACTGATTGAAATATTTGAATATTGATTAATATTAAATGCATCCATTTGTTGATGAAATAAAAGCTACAACTGTTCCAAATTATAATAATGTACGATTAAAACTAATTTTTTATATATTTTTAACAAAATTTTTTCTTCAGAAAGTATTGTTTTATTACTCCAATTAATTCAAGCAAAATGAATAGTTAATTCCTTTTTAGATCATTCAAATTTTTATGAAATAATATTTTACATTCTCAAAATGTTATTTTAATTCTGGTAACGGAAAAATTTTAACGGACAAAAAACTTTAACGCTAATATAAAATGCTCGGATGACATTTATGAAATATTCGTCAAAATTTACGTTCAAATTATAAAACATACAATTTACCTTTTAGTTGATTTTTATTTTTTCCAAAATATCTCGTTGATTTTTTTTATTTGAATAAAGAAGGGAGAAAAAAAACTTGGCATTTTTGTGATATTATTATTGCTATTTTTTTTTGCCGTGACATTTTAGTAATTTAAATAGCTGTGTCAAAGAAATCTTCCATTATCAACAGTTCAATCTACACCTTTGCATCATTAATTAATTGAAAATTTACTATTTTTTTTCGCCTTTATATTATTTAGAAGAAAAAAAATGTGTGCTATTTAATGGTAGAATAATAATTACAATAATCCAATTGAGAATGATAAGTGGAATAAAAAATTGGAATTTCAATATTGTCACAATTTTGTTCGCCACAATATTTTGACATTAATTCATTTTAACTTTGATAAAATAATTCATAATTTGATCAAAGTTCCTTACAGAAATATCATTAAAGGAATTGGAAACACTTAAAAAAGGATGTTATTAACATATACAGAAGGATTTGGAGTTTTTGATCTTTTACTTATAAAGAAAAAAAAAAAATTTCAGATTTATTTAAAACATCCATAATTTTATTGGAAATTCGCTGTTAAGATTAATGAAATTCGTAATTTGAGTGATTATTCTTTACACATAAGTCATTATAGGAATTGAAAACATTTAAAGAGGATAATTAAATAATAAATTACAAATATCATTTGAAATATTGGATATGCTAAAAGTAAAGGTCATATTCTTGGCACTGGCAAATGAATTGTACTTTTGTCAATGAATCAACAAATCGAAGTGATAATCGAATAACAAATTTAGCCATATTTATTATTTCAGCTTAGCCATTTGGCTTGAATGTTTTAAAAAAAAAAAAGAAAAAAAATCTAAGAAATTCAAACATGATTAACTGGTTTTTTTCCTTTTTTTTTTTAGTACCATTGTTAAAATTTGAATTAGCAACAGACATTTGTCATTTCTTAATAAATAACTCTTTACGATAAAATTATTTCTTTCTCGAATAAACATTTAAGTGATGTTTGCTTTACAGATTGGAAATGCGGCAAGTGATAAATAGAAAATGAAATGTTTTTCACAGCTATATATTTGTATTTAAGATTTTTTTTTCCTTTAATTTTAGGCGGAACTGATGAAACTCCTCACTTGAGAGTTCATTTGATGAGTTTTATTGGGTGATAAAATTGATTTTTCTTTTTGCTCATTCTTTTTTTTTATTTTTTCTTTTTTTTGAATATAATAAAAAAAATGATTGTTTTATTTTTACAAGAATATTAAGAGATTAAGAAAATGATTTCCGAATACAATATGTAAACGGAAAAATTCTCAACCTGAATAACTGGTTGGTAGATTAAATTTGGTCAACTGTTACCAACATAGCAGCAAAACATAATTCCTGAAACAGTTTTTTTTTTCGGTACAGGAATAGATATAATATGAAAAGGTATTTTAGTAAAAATATTAAGATTACAGTTTTAATTGTACTATAAGTTCATTCAAATAAATGTTTGATATTAGTCTCCATTAGGATATATACACGCAATTAGCATACCGAATGCTCGGAAATCGCTGATATCATAATATTTCAAGTCGGATGATCATGTATTGATAAAATTTGTGGTAATTCCTGCAAATTTTGTAATTTTGCAATTCAAAATATCTTCGGCAAAATTAAATAATATGGTGAATAGCCATAAATGATCGGTCATCATTTGAAGTTTCGTAATGGACAAAACAGAGTAATGAAAATTTCAAAAATTTTCTAAATTTAATTGAAATTTTGACAATGAATCAAATGAAATCTTTCTTTCTTTCTAATTAACAAGGATATGAACAATAAATGGATCGAAATACATGATCAGAACTTTAAGAAATGTATTGGAAATGGTAGGATTCATATTAGTTGCGTAAGATAAGGTTGCGAAATCTAACTTATTGGTTACTTATTGCATTTGCAATTTCTTGCAATCATATTGTTGCAAACATTTGGCAAAATTGCTGCAATTATAATTAAGATTAATTGCAATATTTGCTACCGCATTTTATTTTGTAATTTAAAATTCTTCTTTCGATACGTTTACATTCATTGTGATATTCTCGACGATTGTAAACTGAATTCCATTTCGATTAAGTATCCTTTTATTCGCTTGTTTCATTTCAAGAAATAAAACTTATCGTTGGTACCAGAAAAAAAAAAAATTCAGCAAGACCATTAAAGTTTCCACTTTTTTTTCCTTTTTTTTTCCTGTTAGAAATGACAATGAAAAATGCCAAAAACTGCATATTAAATCATTTTTGTTGAAATTACTAAACGAATGTAAATCAGGATTTAGCCTGAATAAACATTTCCTTCCTCAAGTGTAGATAGAAAGCCATACTGATGACCACGCCTTCTTCATTTTCACCTCATCCAAGTTAATTCTGACACCACCAGATACATTTTCACCTTATAAACTATTCCAAAAGAAGGCACTCCTGACAATTACCTATTCAAATCCAATCTTTTTTTCCCCCTCCCTCCCCCCCCCCCCTTTCTCATGTATTTCAAAAAATCCTCTTGCCTTTCATATTTCGTACCAAAATTCAAAAAAAAAAAAAAGAAAACGGAACGAAATTTCATTTGCCTTTTCAAAAATAATATCAAACAGTGATTTCGATTTTTTAAAATTTATTAATTGTAGATTAATATAAGTTGATAAAAAATTATCATAGATATGTTTATTACAAGTAAATTTTCAAATTACTATAGCTAGGCTTAATTGTTAACAGGGAAATTTTGAAGTGCACTTATTAATATCAATCTCTAAAAAATATACCTGATAGAAAATTGCCTTACTTCCTTTCTTCCTTTCTTCTTTTCACATAGCAATTTATAAAAAAAAAAAAAAAAATTAATAGATGAACGAGTTACAAAGTTTCTCGTAGCTTTGAAAAATTAAATGAACTTTTTATTTGCTTCTTCGATAACTGCAAATGGCAAACGATTCCAGAAATTAAATTGAAGATAAAATGTTGATTGAATTAACAGTCATCAATCCTTTCTGTTTTATTTTTTAATTTTGAAAAAAAGTTTATTTTTCTTTTGATAAAAACAATCCAATTATTGAAAGAATTTCATTTCTTCTACGCTTATTTTTACAAATTATTAACCAATAGACAGGTAAATACAAAGTAAAATGAAATGTAACACATATTTGTTTGAATTTTCTTTGATAAATCAGCAAAACATTTTACTTGTTATTTCCACTATTCGTACATTTATTTAAATAACTAATTTTTTCCATTAAAAAAAAAAAAGAAAGTGTTGTAAAACTTGATGTTTCCATCAATTCTTTCTCTCCCTTTCACTTCATTAATTAAGTAACTCTAAATTAAGCAAAATTTTTTTTTCTTTTAGCAATTTATTTCAGTTTAAATCAAAATTTCCTATTTTTTCCCTTATTTATTTGATTTTCACATCTTTCATATTTAACACAAAAACTTTCATGCAATAGATTGAAAAATGATTGGATTATAAATATTAGATTAGTGGATAGCAAGAAGAAAACTTTTTTTATTACTGTTTCTTCGATTTTCTTTCTTTTTTTTTGCCAATTATTTTACATTTGAATTTTAATGAAATCTAAAAGGCAAATTTCAAAAGGATAATTGAAATTGCTTGAAGAAATAGTGCGAAGGAATTTTTCCATCTATAGTTTGATATTATTAGACAACCGGAAAAGTATGGTGATAAAAACGAACTGTTATAAATCTAATTATCCTTAGGGAGAAGAAGACGAAGAAAGTACGGAAAAATTCGAAATTATGCCATCCAAGAATGTGAAATTATCATTTTTGTTATCATTATCAATTCTGTTATGAAAATTCTACAATTATTGCTGACGTTCCAATTGGCTTACACACATCAATTGCAAATTTCTTGCAAAAATACTGATCAGGTCAGTTGATTAATGTTACATCCTAGAATTTAAATTTAAATTTTACTTTTTTGTCCTTAATTTTTGCTTTACGCTCGTTGTAATTGTTAATTTTGGAATGATTTAATGATTTGCAAAGTTTTTAATTTACCATCAATAAATATATTGCTGGTGATAAATCATTTTGACAGTGAGCTTTTTTTTTTTTTTTTTGCCATATAACATTTAGAAAATTTTAGGTTTAGCAAAATGAAATTAAATCCAAAATTAAAATTGAAAAGATTTAGGCTTTTTTGTTTAAGATCTACAAATAAACTGATATGAACATAACATTGCACGTAACATTATGATGAATAAACTGTAAGGTAGTGAAAGAAGAAAGTTAAATTCCTTTTAAATTGTAAATTATTTCATCGGGAAAATAATCTATCTTTATGCTAATAAAAATTTTCTCTTTTTTTTTGTGTAATTAATATTATTTAGAATTTTAATTAAAATTTTTAAATGTATTGCAACATTTTTGTGAATATCTGTTTCAATTTATTACTATTCTTATCCTGTTTTTTTGAAAAAAAAAAAGAAAAAAAGTTGCAGAATATTGGATAAGAAAAGATATTGAGGAATTTTTGAAAGGATATTCGAAATTATTCGTTGAATTGAATTTCTTTTTTTTGCAACAAACAAAGTAATTTAGTATTATTTTCAGGTGCATAAAAAATCGATCTTCTTATGGTCAATTGAAAGAAATAATATTGTTGAAGGTTATATGTTCGGAACAATTCATGTACCATTTACCGAAGTCTGGGAACAAGGTAAAGTTAATGAAATTTTAGTAAATTTTTTATTATCATTTAATAACATTTTATATTTTATATAATTCATATTTTTCATATTTCTGTTATCAGTTTATGCATTAGGCATTGATTCATTCTAATAAATATCAATTGAAATTTTCTATTGAAATCATTTGCTTACAAACAATTTTGTTTGAATTGATTCAAATCTAAAAATTTGATTAATTTAATTACAAATAAGGCTTCTTAGATTAAGGTAACTGTAATACAGTTACATGGATATTAGTAAATTTTTTATTATCATTTAATAACATTTTATATTTTATATAATCCATATTTTTCATATTTCTGTTATCAGTTATATTTACAATTTTCATGCATGACGCTATTGTCAAATACGATAAGACCAATAATCGTTTGCAACCGATAGCACGAAACAGTAATTATCTTTTGACATAAATATTCAATCTTTCCCATAGCGATTTTAATCCTACAGATTTTACTTATAATATTAGAATATTACAATATTTCTGGAAGCAATTAGTGCAATGCATGCATTTCAAATATTGCACTATAGTTAAAAGATGCAATAGACGATTCAATCTTTCGGAAAAAATTTATCAAAGTTAGGTTGTCAAAATTTAGTTTTTTTTTTTTTTCACTCATTAATATATCGTTCAAATGGCAATTCAATGAGATAGTATAGCATGCAAAATGCAATAATGCATCATGCACATAGCATGCCGAAGTCATAATATAACAAAGGACTGGAAAGATTGGTAAAAAGGCTTTTAAATGATGTCCTATTGGGTGGTTTCCATTGAAATTGGAAAGCATTTCGTTATGGATTGTCGTCCGATCAAGAATAATAGATCCTTGAGTAAAAGCAATCGTTTGGTTGTGTAGTAGTTGTGATCGTTGAAGTGAAAATTGAAGTAATAGCAATTGGAGCAAAATCCATTGTGATAGTTTCCGGAAGTAATTGCACGGTGAATTAAAACATATATTCCATTTTCCTCTTTTTCTCCCCGCTCTTTCCCGATACTCCCCGATTGCATCTTTTCATTTGCCTAATTGCATCAATAATTTCACTTGCTTTTTTCCTTGCTTCTCTTGACAGGATTACAACAATTCTTCGCTTCATCATTACTTCTAAAATATTTTCAAAATTCTCATAAATTAAATTACATTTAATTTTTACTAACTTTGAGATCTTTGATACGTTGTTCATTATGAACAAAGAAAAACTCTTTCAAAGTAAGAGGAAAAGTCTTTTTTCTGAATTTCTTGTTTTTAAATTTAAATTTTATGCTGATAAATGTAAAAAGTTTTAAGCAAAATATTTTCTGAACAAAGAAAAGGAAAAAAAACAAATCTAAAAGAAGAAAAATTGCCTAAAATGATTGTAAAATTCATTTTGCATAATTTTATCAATAATAAAATTCCAAAAGATCTTCGTAACATCAGCAGAATATTTATTTGTCCATTTCAAAAATTTAATGAATCAGAGTTAAAAATTCACTAAAAACATATCGATATTAAGCATATGAACATAATTGACTTAAACAATTCGTAATATTTGATTAAATTAAATTTTAACAACCATATATACCAAGCAAATTGGCAATAATTTTGGCCCGTATAATTTCATACCAGTCAAAAATGATTAAAATAATATTTGCTGTGTTAATACATTTCAAATCAGTATCTTTATTTTATATTATTTGGTTTACAGTATCGGAAAAAGTAAAAACAGCATTTGCACGATCAGATTCTGTGGTTTTTGAATTGGATCTTCACAATACAAATACAATCGAACGATTATTGAAATGCAAAAATATTCCGGATGGTGGTACAGTGAAAGATTATTTGTCGCCTAGATTGTATCTAAGGCTGGAACACTGTATTTTTTTCTTTTCCATTGTCAAAATTTTAGCTCTATGAATGTCAAATACTGATAATTAATTAATTGTAAATATTTGAAGAGTTATCGTAGCAGAAACTTTTTTTTGTAGAAATACCAAAATTAGAAGAGATTGCAAAAATCGACTCTTTTTTGAATTTAAAATTACAAAGTTAATTTTTGATTCATCAAAATTTCACTTATTTTTATCGCAATAGTTTTAAATTTATTAGAAGGAGAGGATAGTATATAGAATTTGGAACAGGTACAGGTAATTATAAGTATTCAAATATAGTCTAATTGATTTGATTAACAAATTATTGTCCATCTGATACATATATTACTATTAGTTTATATCGTAGTAGTGGAAAAAATAACTAAAAAACAAAAAAAGACCGAGAAATGAATTGGCTATTAGAATTAATAAGATGAAGAAAAAATTTAAAGGGGATATTCGTTTTACCAAGAGGTATGGTAGAATTTCATAATTTCAATAAAATTAAATTAAAATTTGGAGAGAATGAAAGCAAGAGAGAGGGAAAGGAAAAAAAAATTATACTTTTTGAAAGTAATTTAATAATATCATGATATTAGATTAAGACGAAAATAAACTTAAAGATAAGCATACCTTAACATTTTGAAATTAATTTATTGACCATTACATTAACTTCAAAAGATTTTTGAATATTATTATGTGAATGAAAAAAAAAAAGAAATAAAGTGTTTAAGAGGAAAAAAAGAAAAAAAAGGCGAAACATTCAATTATTGCAAAATGGTTACTTTTTACGTACTTTCCCTATAATTAATTCATTCATCTAGGAAATGAATTGAAATGATGAAATTTTAAAATGCAAATTTATTTTACTTATTTTGAAAGCATAAATTTTTAATTTAATTTATTAAAAATATTAAGATATGAGAATTTATCAAGAACAATCAGAAAGGCAATATGACCAGAAAGAAAACACACAATCCAGTTCAGAAACTAGAATTAATCCCAGAAATATATTTGGAAATATTGTCGGTATGTTTCAAAATGATCAATAATTAATTCATATAACGAAATTTTTTTTTCTTTTTTTTTTTTGCTTCTGATATATTAATATTTTTATTTATTTAGCAAATAAAATGCTCGAAAAATGATGTTTAACAAGTAAAGTAGTAATTAAACTTATTTACATTACTGTTTACATATTTATATTATTTCTCTAAACAGTAAAAGATAACCTGCTGCAAGGTAAATATCATCCATTTACCTTCTGACCTCATTACGATAATTATTTATAAAAAGAAATTTGATATGTTTCCTGAAGGATTTGATTGAAAAAATAACTCTACTTACATTAACATATATTGATAATAAAAATTTTACAAATTTAAATCAAAATAAAAATTTCATTTCAAAAATTTACTTATTTAAAAATTATTCAATTATTGGTAATGATTTTTTGATTTAAATTTTTGCAAAAATTTTGTTCGCTAATTTTTTTTTTTTCCTGCTTAGAAGGATGGGAACGTCGACGACCGGTTTGGTTATTATTCCTGTTGTATCAATTAAGCGAAAAATATCTCTATCGGGAGCATATACCAACGCTTGATCTTTTCCTTGCTCAATATGCTCTTGAACTCAACAAAAAACTTTATTCAATTGAAACTGCTACTGAGGTTAAATTTCTTTTCAAAAAAATTTTAAAATTTTAATAAATTTTAAATTCAGTTCTAAAAGATTAATTATTAGTTATTTAATTATAATTCATTATGTTATGCTAACTTTTTGTCCTAAAATCTCAATCTTTTAATTTACCTTCCAATTTTTCAGTTTTTTTCTTACCTTTCCAGTAGAAAAAAAAAATAACATTTTAGATAATAAGGATCCATTATTTGTCTGTTTTCATTGCACTTTGACCTCATTTAGTGCAATTTTTTAATAAATTAACAAACAAATTTTTCATGAAGATGACTACTCATCTAAAAGTTTTCAATCAAATTCGTATAATTCATATATATATATATGTTTCAATTTACAAAAAATTTAACAAATCATTTACTTAGAAAAATTAAAAGAAAGTTTTATTGACAAAAAATTGTATGATTGTTTATTTATAATTTTGTTTATTTTACAAAAAAAAAAAAAAGTTTTAGTAAATCGTAAAAAAAAAATAAATCAAAAAATTTAACAAGTCTTTAGTCATTTACTAAGCGATAGGTTAATTTCTCCATAAATTGTGTAATCTTTATTTTTTAGCAATGTAATCCACTCCGTTCAGTACGTATGGATCAGGTTGGTAAAATTTTCAAAAAAGTTTTTTTCTTTTTTTTTTTAGTTTTATTATTAGGAAAGATATTAATGTCCAAACACTAATCAGTTAAATAAAATATTAAAAGGAAATATTTAAGCAATTTTTCTTACCAATTAATTTAAACATAATCTTTCGATTGCAAGTGATATTTTCGAAATTATCGAGCAAAATATCGATTTCCGTTTTTAAAATAAAAAATAAATGAATTGAGGAAAACAACAAAAAACATTTCATAAATTCCATTACTTTTCTTTCTTTGAATGCCTTAAATTTCATTCGAAGTTTTTTTTCTTATCAAATAGTTTATTTAATATTTTATTCTAAGTTTATTGCAAATCAATTGGGAAAATTGGTGGAAAAAAAAAAATGTATCAGCACGTAATTATGAAAATGACTGGGACAGTTAGATAATTACTGCGCATACAATTTGGAATTTTTGTATGGAAGCAATTAAATTGGGTACCATTGTAATATATTAGTACTCATACAAACAAACAAATATTTGAATGCACAAACAGATGTGAAAATTATTTATGATCACTTGTTTGTTTAATTATTCTAACCTTTAACCTTTTGGTTAACTATTTTGGAAGTTGATACTTATTTTATGTAAATGAAATTAGGAAATGTGAATTGATAGATTTCATCATTTTTATCATTCTGTTTAATCATTTATTGACTGATTTTTTTTCTTTTTTTCTTTAAGCAATATTTGATCCTATCCATTGAGATACTTCAATTGTTGCAATGAATTTCAGTCAAATTAATTCTATCAGTATCATTCAATAAATCAACTAGCATTATGATCTTGATATCATATTGAAATTGAACTGATAACAACTGAAATATCAGTTCAACTCTTATAATTAAAATATCATTTTCAGTTATTATTTGCAATCAATTATACGTTATCATATCTGGAATTTGAACATAATTTAACGATGGCAGGAATTCAATCAAATAACAGTGGTATTGTTAATCTAATTAATAGTTACAAGTGTGGCTCATTGGATGAATCACTATTCAGTGCTGATTCCAAACGATTCATTAATCAAGGATTCAGTATTACATTTGAGCTTGACCGAAAAGCACAAGAAGTAAAGATGATAATATTTTATTCCAATTCAATAAAATATGATTTAAAAACTATTAAATTACTTTTTTTGCAAGGTATTTAAAAAATTTCTATTAAAAATGAATGCAACTATGACAATAAAAACGATGACGATAGTAATAAACATTTCTCATATATTATAATTGTTGAATGAAAAAAAAAGATTTAAAATATTGAAAAAAAACAAATTGCTTCAAAATCTGTGCAAACATTAAATATTGTAGTTTAAATTGGGAAAATTTTACAGATTGACAATCAACTTCGTGAAGATATCATTGAACGAAGAAATATTCGAATGGCTGATCGTATCGCCAAATTATTACAATGGAAAGTAGGCAAACAATATTTCTTCGCCTTAGGTGCTGGTAAGATATTTTAACGAAAAAAAATGTTGAAATTTATTATTTGTATTTTTTTTTTCAAACTAAATTATTCCAAATAATTTCTATTAAATGAATTTCACAATTTTTTTTTCTTTTCCTAAATTATTTTCTCTCGCTTACAATGACTTTTCATTTACTAACAATACAATCATTAATTTCATTCATTCATTCATGCATTCATTCATTAACTCATATCCGTTCATTCATTAGTTCACCTTATTCATCCATTCATTTATTCATTCACCCGTTCATTCATTCACCCATTCAACCCTTCACACATTTATTAGTTTATCCATCTATTGATTAAACAAAAAAAAAAGGAAAAAATTCGAAGGTATCAGAAAAAAGGATGAAAATTGAGAAATTTGCAGTTTGAACTTTTTTCGATTACACTAACGAGAAGCCAAGATGACCTTTTCATGGATACTTAGTAGTTGACTTGAATTTCACCATGGAAAGATTTAAGAGCTAATTCTTTGGCGGTAGATAATTCTGTCCTGTTTAATGCATAATCTGAAAATTATGAACTCTTCGATAGACAATTTTTGAAAGAAGTCAAGTACATTTGCTTTGTTCATATCATTGGCTGGATACATGTCGATAATTTATCTAATATTTGATCATTTTATTTACCAAGGTTACAAAGAAATCTGAAATGCTGCTAGAAAGTAATTTTACTGATTAGCGTATAGCATAAAACACTGCATCACCACTTTATGTCCTTCCGGAATGAAATGTTTTAATTTCTCCACCGGTTGTACCGTAAGATACGCGTACACCAGTTCAGTTTCATAAATAAATAACACTGAATGGGGAAAAAAAAAAAGGTCATGATAAGGTTTCACTCAAATTACTGATGAAGAGATGATAATAAACGGAGGAAATTAGTTCAGCTTTCAGCTTACTATCGCTTTTTACTGTTTAAACGAAATACTTCATGTCGTTTAAACAGCAAGAAATATAAGCGTCAGATGACAATAATGCAGGAATCAATAAGAGATCGACCCTTATATGTAGGAAAAGAGAAATACTATATGCGCTCTCCTAGTGTTATGATCATATCAGCTACGCTACCAAAATGTTTTGTAGCATCTCAAAACCGAAACCCTTTACTTGATACATACGTGAACATTTCCAGCAAACTGATCTATCTTGTGAAACATAGGAAAAACAGAACATGGCTCTGTCCAAAACTTTTAGGCCATTTCCTGGGTCGCAAGTCGATCTTGGCACTTTTGGAGACTCACGGGTTCGTTACAAAAGCTGTTACGGAAAATGATGAGATTAGGTAAGTAGTTTTATTCATAAATTAAATTCTATAAACCTATCCTTCTTTCCATACTTTTCTGTATAAATTTACAAAGCTAATGTTTTATAAATGGATGGTGCATCTGATGTATGTCAACAAATAATCAGAATCATCAGAAACAGTTTAAATGTTTAGTTTTCGGGAACACGTAAACGATAGACATGTATACGTATTCAACGAATTATGGGTACGCGATGACAATATAAAAACTGATCCAGCAATTGATATTATGCTCACGGTGGACGAATTACCCAATAGTGACAATTCAGACAGAGTAGGCCGATCTCAAACCATCATTTTCATCCTGATGATTGTAATTTCATTAGTTATATGATAATATGGTCGTTTCAAATCCAATACTCGTATGTTATTTCGCTGTCCGTATCAATGATATGAATACCTACCAAAACATTAATGACATCCAAAGTTTGTTCACGCTACGAGATATCTTCTAATGGTTGACCCAAAGCACTTGCAAAATAGTAAGAATTCATAAGAGCAAAAGAAAGAATCAAAATCTTTGCTTTCTTCCTTATGTAAATCGAAAATGAAACAAATGAGACTATGACCATCATTAGTGCATGAAATTTTACTGTCCGGACTTATTCCACTTCGAACTCCACCACACGCCAGAAACATATGTATACCGTATAATGACATCGCCTAGGGAGATTTTTATCAAAGAGGTCCAAACTACATTCGGAGTTAACGGGATGGTTCCTGTTCACACCCCTCTTCACATATTCAACGAATTTGACAATCATGAACAGAAAACATGGCGGAATGTACAGTAACTTCTTAAACTACCATTAAATAGTCTGAAAATTTCCAGCAATTCAAGATGTAGACAATGCTAATGTTGAAAGATGTTAGCGTTAAAATACTGTTAGTGTTAAAACTTTTTTTCCCTCAACAATCCAAAGTACTTCCCGCACTAAATTAGAAGCATTTTTACGTTAAATCATTGAAAACTTTATGATCATCTGATGAAATTAAAGAAGAAATCCTATATAATGCAGCTGTTAGAAGTATGTAATAAGCGAAACGATAATACATGGGACTCTAAATGTCCGAAGAATTGTGGCAGAGATGGAACTTAGAACTGTTGAAGAAAAAAAGAAACAAAACGAAACAAATGAGAGCAGACAGAAATATTGAGCCGAATATTAGCTGTTAAGGGCATACTGACAAAAATACTGAGTAACATTGACAAACAGTTTCATTTAACGTTTGTGAATTCAGCCGTATACTCCTGCAATCGCAGTTTTAGATTTTCTTCAGCAAAGCCTCCGCCATCATTGCACCCATTTGCGCAGGTGATGCCGAGACCTAAATATTGCAAATGCAACAACCCTTATTTACAAAATGCCAGTACCAGGAAAATCAATCAGCGTTGGAGATCCCATTCCGTTCGCCTTCTATGGTGATGCAAACAACCACACTTACTTTTAACTATTCAACCATTTACTCGCATTTACTCACCCCTTAAGATATCAGTGAGTAAAGATATCACTGACTATAATTAGGTTGTAAATTATCTAAAAAAAAAAAACTTGACAAAAAAGCGATTGCAATTTTAAAATCATCTTATCAATTGCTCGTTTATTGATCTCCGAAAATCAACTGTGGAAACCCGTTAAATGTTTTGAAAACTCTTTAATAATAATGTAAGATTCAGCAAAATGTTTTCATGGAACTTTGAAAACTCTTTAAATGACTTACGAGGACGCCAACACTTTTCAAAGCTTCAATTTTATCAGCAGCAGTTCCTTTCCCACCTGCAATAATCGCACCAGCATGTCCCATTCGTCGACCTGGTGGTGCAGTCTGTCCAGCAATGAACGATACTACTGGCTTAGCATTTGGTCCCTAAGCAGCTTGAATCATCGTCGTGAAATATTTCGAAAAGGAACTATAAATTTTAATATATTTTCATGCTAAATACATCAGAAAAAAGAAATACCGAGTTATTTTCTTTCAGAAATTCAGCAGCTTTTTCTTCATCTTGTCCGCCAATTTCACCAATTAAAATAATACCTGTAAAAACACTAGTTTTTTTTCGCTTTAATTCATTAAACTGGGAAAAAAATTTGAAGCCAAAATGTGAAGACCTAACCCTTAGTTTGAGGGTCCCTCAAGAAAATATCAAGACAATCAATGAAATTTGTGCCGTTGAATGGGTCACCGCCAATGCCAACGCATAATGTTTGCCCAAGACCAAAAAGCGTTGTTTGATGAACTGCCTCATATGTCAGAGTTCCAGATCGTGAAACAACACCAATAACTCCTTTCCGATGTATATGTCCCGGCATAATACCTATTTTGCATTCTTCCGGCTAAAAGTCTGGACGAAAAATTATATCAGTACAAAAACAACCGAAATTATTTGTGAGGAATTTTTAGAAAAAATTACAGTACTTTTAAAAGGGAGATCTAGCATATTACTCGTTTGGTTTTACAGTTATTCTTGGACCAAGCAGAAGAGTTTTTCTAACTTTTAACGGCTAAAAATTAAGTAAAAACAGTAACATACACAAATTATTCCAGGACAGTTCGGACCAAGCAGACGAGTTTTATTCTGTTTCATTAGTCTGTTTCGAACTTTGACCATATCCTGCTGTGGGACACCTTCCGTAACACAAACAACCAGTGGGATTTCCGCATCTATAGCTTCTTCGATCGCTTTAGCTGCAAAGCGTGCTGGTACATAAATAACTGATGCATCCGCACCTGTTGCTTCACGAGCCTGAAATTCTGCGATATGCTCCTACAGTGAAAAATACTTCGACATATAATAAGATTGCAAAGCAATACGTCGAAATTGTACAACCTGATCATCTAACATGGCAATCTTCCGATATCGCCCTATATATATATATATATATATATATATATATATATATATATATATATATATATATATATATATATATATAT